AAATAAAATTGGTTGGTTATAAGCTATAGCCTATGAAAGCAATAAATTTTGAAATACGAGTATTTAATAGTCATTTGGTCAAAATGAACGAAAATAATCAAAAAATTATGAGTTGTAGCTCACGAAATCGCAAAATTTTGAAGTATGAGTACTTAGTCATCATTTGGTCGAATTGAATGAAAATGAACAAAAACTAATCATTATGACCAATGAAAACGCGATATTTGACTTCGCATATTCATTGTCATTGGGTTAAAATGAATGAAAATGAATAAAAAATATTCGATTACAATCCATGAAATTGTAAATTTTGAATACACATTTACTTGTCATTAAATCGAAATGGATAAAAATGGACAAAAACCATAGGATAAAGCCCTTGAATATCGCTAATTTTCAAATACCCATACTAGTATCCATTAGGTCAAAATGAACGAAAATTGAAAAAAATTATTTTTGAAGTCTACAAACTTAATTATCATCGAGTTGAAATAATGTTACAGAAAACGCTAGACGGGCTAGGCGTTTGGGCTGGGGCCTAGACACCTAGGCGGTGCCTAGGCGTTTGACTTTTTTAATTAGATAATTATAATAATTGACAAAAATAAGATTTTGATCTTAAAATATTAATAAACTAGATCATTTGACTCTTGCATTCTTGCTCATACAAAATTAAACTAAAATAGAACAAGACTAACTAATTAACTAAATTTAAAAATAGTGAAAAATAAAAAAGTAAAAAAAATAGTGAAAATAATAATAAATAGTGAAATTTTAAAATTTTACCTTGAAGAGAAGAGGAGGTTCAGCCATTGAGGTGGCGATGGCGGTGCAAAGAGGAGATTTGAGTGGTTGCGGCTGTGGGAAGGGAGAAGGTGGTTGCGATGGTGATGGTGGTCGAGAGAGAAGAGAGGAGGTGGCTGCGTAGGTTCATCGAGACAAGAACAGAGAGGAGGAGATGGTGGCTACAGGGGGTCCGTCAAAGAGAAGATGAGTGGTTTTGGGTTGTGGACTTGAGAGGTTATCGAGAGAAGAGGAAAGAGGAGAAGAGGAGCTTGTGTGGGGGTGTTGGTGTGTGGTCGTTGGTGTTTATTGAAAGGAGGAGCGTGTTCGTGACTACGGTCTGGTTAGGGCTTTGGAATGGGGAAAATAAGAGGGCGAAGGAGAGAGAAGAGTGAGCGTGGTTTTATGTTTAGCGGTGGTTAGGGTTTAGTGGGTCGGGTAAATGAAAAAAAAAAACCTCTTTGTTTTCAAATGGCTTTGATTGATGCAGCAGGCAGCAGAGGCTAGGCAACTCCTAGGCGGAAACCATCCCGCACCGACAAACATGATGTGTGCCAATCTAGGCGGCTAGAGGTCCGCTTATGCTTAGGCGGACGCCTAGGTGTCTGCCTAGGCCGGGTTTTATAACATTGGGTTGTGATGGATTGTAGCCCATGAAATCACAAATTTTGATCTACATATAATTAACATTATGTTGAAAAATGAAGAAAAATTGACAGAAATTGTTGTTTGCATCCAATGAAAAAATTAAATTTTGTAATATTCATACTTAATTGTCATTCGATAGAGAAAAAACAAAATGTAACAACAATTGTGGGTTGTATTAATGAAAATCATGAAATTTCTAATTAATTGCATAATTACCATTTGGTCAAAACAAATTAAAATGGAAAAAAAATCATGAGTTGCCTATGCAAATGATGAAATTTGAAGCACACATACTTATTTGTTATTTTGTTAAAAAACTATAATGGACAATAATGGTGCGTTATACATGTATAACTCTTAAAATAGCTAATTTTCAATACACGTACTTAATTGTAATTAGGTTGAAAAGAATGAAAATAAATAATAATCGTTGGATACAGCCCATGAATCACAAATTTTTAAATACGAGTACTTAATTGTCATTGGGTCAAAACAAACGAAAATGAACAAAAACCGTAGGTTATAGCTCATGGAATTACGAATTTTGAATTACCTATATTAATTGACATTGTGTTGAAATGAATGATAATGAACGAAAAATATGGATTATAGCCCATGAAATCGTTAATTTTGAAGCTATCCATACTTAATATCCAGAGGATCGAAATGCACAAAAAGTAGAAAAATTGTGTTTTTTATATTCACAAACTTAGTTGCCATTGGGTTGAAATGAACAAAGTAATAAGAATCATAGGTTATAGTCCATAAAAGTCGTGAATTTTTAAGTATGCATATTTAGTTGTTATTGAATTAAAACAAACAAAAGTACATAAAAGTTATAGCATATAAGTGCTTGAAACTCCCGAATTATAAAGTATATATAAGTAATTATCATTAGGTCGAAATGAACGCAAATAGTCAAAAATATAGCAAAGTTTGAAGTATGCAGATAATTTTCATTGGGTTAATATTAAGAAAAATGGACTAAAATCGCACATGAAAATTATGAATTTTGAAGTATGCGTACTTAATTCTCATTGGGTCAAAACAAACTTAATGAGTATTATAGTGCATGAAAACCGTGAATTTTGAAGTATCCTCCTTAATTGTCATTAGGTCGAAAATAATAAAAATGAAGAAAACTAGTCGGGTGCTCATCAAAATCACAAAATTTCAAAATATTCATTCTTAATTGTGAGCGAGTCAAACCAAACAAAAATGGACAAAACTCGTTGATTATAGCCCATAGAATCCCAAATTTTTTATACGCATAATTAATTGTCATTTGGACAAAACAAATAAAAATAGACAAAAATTATGGGTTATAACTCAAAAAAAGAGAATTGTGAAGTAGACATAGCTAATTGGCATTGGGTCGAATATAAAAAGATGGTGGATTATAGTCCATGAGATTGCGAATTTTAAAGTTCGCATACTTAATTGTCATTTAGTCCAAACAAACAAACAAAAGTCATGGTTCATAGCCTATGAAAATCGTGAATTTTGATGTATGCATATTTAATTGCCACTGGATCGTAGCAAACGAAAATGAACAGATATCGTGGGTTATAACTCAAAAATTGTGAATTTGATGTAGCCATACTTTATTGAATTGGGTTGAAACAAATGAAACTGGACAAAAATCGTGGATTAAAGCTCATGAAATTTGTGAAATTTTGAATGAAGAATATTTAATTACTATCGGATCAAAATGAATGAAAATGGATAAAAATTATGGGTTCTAGCCTATGAAATAATGAATGTGAAGCTCGTATAATTAACTATCATTGGATCGAAATAAAGAAAAATGGATGATATGTTGTATGTTATATATGTTATATGGCCCACCAAATATGGACCCAAGAACTCGATGCACTAACAACTGTTTTGCATAGGGGTCTACATTTACATTACTTTTATTTATTTATTTATTTATTTTCTCTTAAGCATCTATCGTAGCCTAGCGTGAAAGTGATTTGAACCCCTAAAAGTAGAGCTTAACTACTGTTTCATGATGAATCTTAAAGCATCATTTGAATCAATTGGAACAACCATGTCAATATCGACATGATAAGACGGTGCGTGAAGTATCCATATACTTTACTGCATGCATGCAATTTATTTTTCTCAACTTGGAGGAAAGGAAAAGATTTGGTTGTAGAGAGGAAAGAGAGTTTTCTTTCCTCAGTCATACTTTGATATACCTATGAAAAATACACAATCTAACTTTCTTGATAACTCATTGACCTGTCAACATACTAAGTCATTAGAATCTAGAGATTGAGTTGTTTAAATTTATTTGACGAATGCAAAGTTTCTAGTGTAATATATGATAAGACTAATTGATTTCATATCTACTTACATATATCTCATCTCTTGCCTTGTGATTGTCCCTAACTATACCTTTCTGTAAGAAATAAAAAGAATTAATCTTTAATTGAGAAATAGAGAAAACTGTTTTAACAGTGGAACTCAGGTTTTTCTTAGGTTAAAACAAGAAATATTGATTTAAATTGGTGTGATGTTTAGTGTATATTTTTCTTGCTGGGTTTAATGGGTTTGGAGTGGAAGATCTTGGATTGTTTCATGATAAGGCAAAGGAGAGTAAAGGGAATGTAAAGAAGCATTTTGGAAACTTAGAGTAAAGGGAATGTAAAGAAGCATTTTGGAAACTTAGCTGTTTGCTCGTCAACGAGAATTAGAAAACTATAATTGAGCTCAGCGCTCTAGTAGTGTGGTGCCTTCAAGTGATTGTTCTCCATAGGCTGCATAGAAATGCAGTATCATCAAAACTTGGTTTCTGAAAAACGACTGTTTGCTGATGTTTAAAGAAATTGACCATTGTGATATTTAGTGTATTTTCAACTTGTCTAGTTTCTTTAGCTAACATTTAGTTATGCATCAAGAGCCCATATTTTTCTGCCTGGCTTCTGGTAAACTTGACTGTTCCTGGACAACAGATTTCCATACATCTATCCATTTCTGCTTCAGTTTGTGCCTAAACTCTAGATAAGGCGTCCGGTATTGTATTTGTGAGAATGTTAAACCATTTTCCATATAAAACAAAATTTCCCATTCTGGAGATCTCTTCTGGCTAAGCTGGATTGGTCAATGCGTTGTAATCAATTTTTTGTGACAGGTTTGCTTGGAGACTCCAAAAACCTGCCTTATATTATTAAAGTAAGAAAGCGAATCATGTCAAATTTCCAAATTGCTAAGATGGATGCAAGAAAAGTTATCAAGTTTCATTAATTCTTGAAAATACAGTTTGACACATTACAAATCCGTTGTCATGTTAAATTGACAAACCTCATTATCCCAGAACCTGCTAATCAAGGAATGATAGTGACACATCACTGTTAATCACATGATTGGTTCTGAAGTCCCTCAAATATCCACCTTAATCACTAATGGTCCCAAAAGTAAACAGTCGTCTGATTGGTTTTATATTAGAATCTACCCTGCATTTTCACAATTCGGCCTTTAATTCAGTCCAAGTGCAAAAAAACTTCAGGTTACTATTAATCCATCTTATTCATTGTTCCCCCCACGTTATTTTCCTGATGCAGTATGGCTTCAACCAGAATTAGTTTTTCTTGTAAGCAACAAAGTGGACCTGAAGCAATGATGTCGTCTTGTCAACAGCATTAAGTACAAACCTAACTGTTGTTTTCTAAGCAACTCTTGGTACTGGTTTGCTTTGGTGGGTGCAGCTGTTTGATCCCCCCTTGTATCATTCTCCGCTTCTTTATAAGGTATTAAGGTTGTGCTGGGTTCATCTTTCTGTTTAGAATGTGTAAATATCAAGGGTCTTATTTATTGTATTTTATTATTTTTGGTTGGTTTGGTATGATATAAATGATTTGGCACTAGAACTGTACTTGGATATTGATTGTGTTTTTAGCTGGCTTTCCTATGGAGCACCTGCCAGATTCCTCTTTATGTATTAGATACCGGTGCTCGCAAGAATACAACTCTTTGTGGTAGCAAAGTTTTGCTTGCTTTGTATTTTCAGGACCAGGGAGTTTTTATGGACCACTTGAGAATGGAAGTTCTCTCTCTTTCCATTTGGTGCGTGAGTTACAGGTTGAAGTTTGGGTGCTTTCAGAACATCATTTTCCCATGACCTGGGCAGAAAAAGAGAGTTCATCGCCATGGGCACCTTGTCCCAATCCTCATTCTCCTCATTCTTGTTGTTGTTAGATTTTGCAAAATAATGAGATATGATTGTCTATTAGCAAAGTCTACATTGCCCCAAAATCGATGTATTATGTGATATATCATGCTTGGCATGTATATATGACTACAACTGCACTCACGAAGGCTCCCGTGTTAATCTTTGTACAATAAGTGGTGAAGCGGAACAAAGTCGATTGGACAAATTTGCAGTAGTTTGGCATCGTGAACAAATCTTTCGCTACTACTAAATTTACGTACAAGATCCCGAGTTGATCCCAGAAATCACTTGTGATCCGATTAAATGAGAGCTCGTCCTCGTCAATGATCATTAAGGATGTCTAAAAACCATCGCATAACTGAAGTGGAAAAGAGGAAGTAACTTCTCAGGTGCATTTCCAGAGGCACCGTTCAACGCGTGTGCAGAAGTGAAGGTAAAATGTCAAGGCAATCACGTGTATTGTATGATGTCTCAGTAAGTCATAATGAGAGGTCCCCTAACCATCAAAACCTTGTACTGTGCAGTGATAAATAGCAAGAAGAAAGACCCCCACAAGTGCAGTCCTCAAAGATTAGTAGCTGTTACTTTTGCTGGAAGAAGGAAAAAAACATCATGGAGTCCCAACAGGACAAGAGAAATTACATCGGCAAGAAACACGATCCGAAGATCACGCTGCCATCTAGTGCACTGATTCATTCTTTAATTACACTTTAACTAACTTGTCCTGTGGCATTAAAGGAATCTTGTATGATTCAGAGTAGCACCTCCTGAATTAACTATTCTGGTAGTTATGTTCCCTGTGCATCACTAAATACGCTCGTTTCCTCCCCCCAACTTGTCCAGAGAGAAAGTTGGTGATTATCACACAAATATATCTAGATGTTACTTCTCTAATATCCTGTCAAAGTTCTGCCAAATTAGACGTTTTTGCTTCCTTCCTCCATGTGATTTAACTGCTCATGGAACCCCGAAGTATCGTTGAATTGAATTTGCTACCCCCAAATCTATTACCCTATAGTTTCACTTGGCGGATAGACCTCTGGGCCAAATTCTTTTGACTCTTACCCCTAAAATAATATGGTCCCGCTAATTTCACCTAGGGGCCAGTATAAGCCAAAATTCCATTCAGGGTAAAAGAGGAGAGAATTTTAAGCCATGGGGTCTATCTTGTCAAATGAAACCTATCGCTGCGCGGGGGTTCTCCGTGCAATTAATTAACCCTTCTATATTGCCCACACTTCAAAAGAAGGCTATGCCAGTAATTATGGGTATAAATCAATCGTCAAACAATACACAAGATTACAGGCAGATACTATCTTTGCCAACAACAATATGATAGTATATTAACATAAGAAAATTAGAGAAAGGTACCTCATTACAAACACCCATCAGCTAGGTCAGCCAATGCCTCCTCAACCAACTCTTCTAACACTTTA